TAAAGATCTTACTGTTTGTCTTATTGCTGACCCAGCAGAAAATAAAGCTCAGCAAAAATGTTTAGCGAATCTCAGCCACTGTGAACCCTTTGCAAGCAATATACACGTACATTACTCTGCATTTGGCTTGACAGGTGAAAATGTGCCGAGCTGATCCAAGAAAATGGCTCCCTTCTCTACTGGTGCAACTAGCTATACCTTGGTCTAGATGTACATGTACTTTTACACAGTCCTATATCCCTGCTGTTGTAGGTGCAAGGGATTATGGGAGGTTATTCAAATGTCATCATTTGCATGTTAACTCCTGACCAATGGGAAAAGTAGATTTGCCCTCTTCGTGTTTGCTTGTTTGTACAGTATCAATCATCTGTAATTCTACTTCTACGAAAAGTTAGATCGAAGAGGATGATTACAAGAAGACTGAAAAAAAGGCAGCTCCAACTTCACTGAACTCTGTGTGTCACTTGGATATCTAAAATTCTATATCGCATCATCAATAACCATCAATAAATATTTGAAATATTAAAACAATCACTTGTGGCCTATTTTGTGGACATTTTCTACAATAAACAAGTGCATTTATTTTCATGAAAACTCGGACACTGCATTTTTTCCAACTTGATTGATATTGGAATCTTGGTTATGGATGTCTGGTCTTTGCAAGTGTGAAGCTTGAATGCCACCCAAGAAGTGGCCCGGCCGATTGTTTGGAGAGACTTCGAAGTACATGATGCATTTGAACACTGTCCCACTTTGTTTTTAAAACAAATAAATTTTGCTGCGCTGAGTGGAATCTTTATCTTCATCTCACATCACAATTTCAGTACCTGTCCCCTCTGCTCCAAAGAAAAGCCATCAGCCTGGATAAGTCAGAATTAGACAACTGATTCCCAAGTCAGCCTGGTGGCATGCAATCACCTCTCTGGATACACTTCCCCAATCAGTTGGGGATCAACTGAAGGACGGGGGAGGGGGGTGCAGGGCAGGGACAAAGTTTGTGATTTGAGGCAGCCAATAAAACTGGTGCATCATGCATGCATGTGGAGTACATGTTCACTCGTACCGGCATGTAATCCCAAGCCCGTGACAGTAAATTAGCCACCCAGTGCCCGCTGCCAATTTAGACAAATCGTAACGCTTTGTTACGGCCAGCCCACATAAGTACACATCTCGTGTTCTTAAGCGATTGCCTGATTTGTTTCTGACCCGTTGAAGAAGATGCGATTGGATTCGGGAATGCTGTCACTGGGTCCATAATCCCTCTACACCAGTTAACCTTGGTCATGAAGACCTGCATAACTTGATTCTCAAGACTGAAATACAATTATGCAGTCCTGTCATATACATGTACATATGTTTGTTTGTTCTGTTGGATGACATACAAAGCAAGTGTGGTGTGTACAACAGGCTCAACTTACTTGGAACTCAGTGTCTCCAAATATTCAGGATGTTTAAGCGCGGTCACACTGCTCTCAGTAAATTTCATATTACAAATTAACCCTACACAAAGTTGGCATCCAATGGGTTATTAGTGTATCCAGGGAGCTGATGTTTTCTCCGATAATATCTTCATGCCTGGATTTATTTTGAGTATAAAAGGGAGAAAGAAGAAGTCATTATGGGTGCAAATAGTGATAGCTGTTCATGTAACTAAATTAGCCTCTGGAATTTCTTTTTCATCAGAAGGTGATATTATTTTGTTAAAAACAGTTGGTAGTCTCCAAAGGTAATTCTGAGTGAGAGACTTGTCAACAAGATCTGCACAGTGGAAACCTGTAAAGGAAGCCGTGAGCTCTTTCATGTCCTTCACAAATGCCAAGGTGGGAAAAGAGTACATGTACAATACTGACCAACATAAGACCACTGGACTCTTCCCAATGCACAACATTGCTACAGTCCTTTTTAGGGATAAATTTCCTAAGTCCCTAGAAAACAAAAAGAAAGGAATATTTCAGTCATGTTTTTCCATTTCAGAGTTATTGGTAAATACCTAGGCTTAAATCAGACAGATTTGTTTGAAATGCTAACATAATGTTCGTACAAGTAATGTTGAAAGACTGACAAGAATTGCCACTGCAGCTATATATTTACAAAAATAATAAAACTCATTTACAATAATTAATGTCGGTAATTAAAAATATTGATGATCGATACTTCAAAAGTAATTAAGCCATTTTTGCAGATAAGCAAGAAACAAGTACATTGTTGAGAGCAAGTTGGCAGTTATTAAGTACATTTTGAGAAAGACCGGAATCCTTTTTAGGCATCTCATTAATATTCATCATTTGGAATGTGATTGAAAGAGGATGACTAAGTTTTTTTTTTTATAATATGTAATTGCAGCAAATTCTTTTGGAATGGGACACCTATGAATGCCGGATTTGGGACATTTTTTTGTGAATTGACGAAAGTATCTGGGATTTCTTGGAAGGGAATAAGCAGATATGTTTATTTAAAAAAATCTAAATGCAAGGGATTTGTAGCTTTTTCACCCATTTAACACCCATATTTTGTTATAAAGTATTTCCTTGGAAGGTGGGGAAAGTGAAAGAAATTACATTCCCCACTGTCATATACTGTAGAAGACAACAGCGATGCAATATGATGCTTGTTTGAAGTGTAGACTCCAAAATATAACAACGGCAGTTACAAGGTTAAAATTAAAATCCCAATAAACGGTCAAAGCGCTCCTGTATGGGTCCTTGCTCTATGATCATATCCTTCAGCTATGAACCATCTTGGCTCACTGAAGCATGTAACGTGCGACGTCTTTATCGATGTGCCATCCCCAACGGTGCGACCACCTATTAAGTCCAATCGCTACAACTACCAAATGTGGCGTAATATACTTCCTCCCTCGTACATAAAGCCACCACCCATGATGAAACAGCAAATTGCTGCCATGGCGATTCGAGACTTTGTGAATTTATGTCGGCATTGATTTTTTTTCTGTTTCTCTTTTTTTTTAATCATTTTCCCTTTTCCCTCCCTAGTCTCTCTTCCCTCTTCCTTATCTCTCCTCCCTTCAGCTCACCTCCCTGCTCTGACAGAAATCTTTTTGACCGTGTTTGATGGACTTGAAATGTGATATTGACATTAATAAAATGTGGCTTCTCCATACCAGCCAACGATGCAACTATCGATGCAACTACATGTGCTGATACGATAGATGATGAAAAAAGGAGGCCTGTTTGTTTTTTGATTCATGAATGCAGGAAAGATCAATAAATGACTAGCTGTATACTGCAATATTTTCCTCGACTTTGAAATATATTTTCCCATATTTTGATAATGGCTTTTAGTGTAAACACCATGCTGTATAAAGTGTTTAAGTGTGCTTGCTTAGTTCTTGTGTGTTCTACCTGTTTTCTTAAAATTACAAGCAGCTTAGCAGTGAAGCTACCGTACATTATGTTAATACAGCGATCAATTGTCTTCCCTACCCCTCCCTGCATTTGCCATTTGTGTCTTGATAAGATCATAAGGGATTTGGTTCCACTAATCTTGCCTGAGGGTTAGCTCTGGCTGGGCACACAAGCACAGAAATGTAACTGCCCAATAGCAGTGGTATTAAATAGAAGACAAATACTATTTGTCTTGTTTGAAGTGTATGCTGTTAACATGAACAGCTGGCAATGCTTGGGAATTAGCAATGGCATGTCTACATGGCATTTGATTTAAAGGAAAGACTGTGGCCCTCTAGTGAGCCAGTTCCGTTTTCCAAAAAGGCAAGGCTATTCAAAAACAAAGCACCAGACGGCATACCAGTTTGGGCCTGTTCAGTGCAGGTGGGTCGGCATATGGCTGCCCTGATAGGACCACCTCCCATGTATGCCAGCGTAATCTCGAATGACCTACGATGCACTTCACATCCAAGTATCAAACTCACTCATTCTCCAGACAAGTATAGTGTAAAGGATTTCTTGTTTTTCTATCAGAATCAAGTTCAGAGACAGAAGCAAAACTTGACTCCCACCTCTCATGGGATTGATTGTCCCAGACTTTCAGACTTGTGTATATGGGGGGGGGAGGGGGAATTATCACTAATGTGTTATCCCACAGTCAGGGAAAAATTCTAATCCTCACATGAGACAGCTCAAGAACTGGGGGAGGTGAAGACTTGGGATGTTCATCCTGCACTAAATTGTGTTTACACCTAGATGGTGATGGTGCTACTGGTGTTGAAGATGACAGTTTTGGTCACTATGAGATGATGAAGATGTAGGTGGTAGATGGAGTGGCTCGAATGATGTTTCACGTTCTTCTCTCCACACTGCATCCTCAATTTGTCATCTTCTAGTCTTAAATGTGGATCTTCAGTTCTTCAAATTTACTGCCTTTTAAGCAAGGTACAACTAGCCGATGGTTGGCCAATGGGCCCGGCAGGCAGTGGACAACTTAACTATGTGGGTGTTACGCCAATTCTGAAGTGTGGTTTCACTCGTGGTAGGTAGTGGGGACAACTGCTCACACTGCCTTGCCCAGTAAAGCACCTCAAGCATCTTGTCATCTTGCTTATTTATGACCTCTTTGGACCAAAAAAAAATCATTTTCAATTCTCTCAACAGAGAGTCCTCTACAAGGGCACAAGTTTTTTATTATTTTTTTTTGGTCAGAAGCACTGAATTTATTAACTTTATCAAGATCTTTGTTCCATGAAACCCTGCCCCATTGTTTTCTGACCAATCACAGTCATGATCTATTTATGTCCGACGTGCGTGCCCAAAAGTCTGACATACATGCATGCGTGTATGATGCGCGTGGCTGAAACAAGTAGTGTAGTGATGGGAAAGAATGCGTGCTGAGTCCCCAAGTGCACAGTGGGCGAGGCTTACTGGATCGGTCTGCTGTTTAAGGACATAAACGTAATAGTTTCTCGGGATTCTACCAAATCCAGCTTGTTTGTAGGCATTCATTTTGGCTCTGTGAAGAGAGTGGTTACGAATACATCTAATGTAGAGTCTCCCAATTTTTCAAGTTTAACGTAGATCAGCCAGAAAGACAGTTGTATTGAATTCAGCACCACACGAGGGGGGTTACTGACCAAACGACCTACATTCTCTGTCCTACATGCGGCCATCGATCCTGCACTTTTTTCCCATCTCAGATTGTAAAGATTTTGATTATTGTGATCCGAGTCCCTGGATGGCAGTAACCCGAGACGCAGCCGATTTCTGGAGAGTCCACAATGCCACGGCAGCAGGCGCACTTGTAGGCTGTGCAATTAATCAGCCCCAAATGAACAGATTCTAAAATGAGATACCCGGGACAGATCTTCAGCCTGATTCCCTGAAAAGCCCAGAGAGTAACAAAGTATCGCCTCATAGTGCGAAAACACTAATCCTCTTAATGTACTCAGAGACAAGAGAACGAGGAAAAAAGGTTTAGATGAAGGAAATAAAAGAAAAGAAGAAAGTGGGCCAAACTATAAGACGAGATCTCAAATAATGAAATTGAATCTTAAGTGTACTTTGTGTGGGAGGTTTGAGGTGTGCAAAGTAAAATGACACTGTATTTTTTTTTACCTGTAAGTTTTGCTAACTGTCAAGACAAGCACAGATTTCCACACAAACAAGTTGCAAATTAGATGGTAACAGTGCAGGGGATGCTCTTCATAAGCATTTCAACCTTGTCAGCTGTCAACTTTGCTCAATCTACATGTAGTTGCTAAGTCAAAATGTAAAAATGTCTGATTAGAACTGCCAATTAACTACATTGATAAACTGTTGGCACCATGTTTTGCTTGTGTTTATCAGGTTTGGTCAACCTCTGTGGTAATCTCCTGCTACCACCTCAGACCCCCCCCATCCACACGCACAAACCCCCGGAAACAAGTCTGACAGATTTCAAAAACCTTTGCAATAAAAGCCACTGCAGTATATAATTCAGTAAATATATAAGAGCGTTAACTTCTGAGCACTTTGATATTCAGAGACAGCCATCCATATGCAAATAGGCATGGCACTGGAGATATGCGGGTCAAGACAGCAAATTGAGAAGCAACAATCTTCCTCTAGACTCCATTTTTCTCTCGTGTGTTTTTAAAAGTGCGGCATAATCCTGCTAATCTCCCATGTTTTGCAAGAGTGATCAGATTTCTCAGCCCCCCCCCTTTCATGTTTGTGGTTCATGTCTTCTCTCCTCGTGGCATATCATCGTCCTGCGTAATCATCGCTGATGGAGGGCTCCTGCCAGCTGAATTAGAAATCCATGTCACAAATGAGGAGAGAGGTTGAAAAGAGAGGGGGGCTCGTTGGCCCAGAAAGCGACAGCCCTGCAGCTTAAAGGGACATACTTTGTACCAGCCGTGGCAACATACTTGTCAACTGCTACGCTACAAATACTTCTCGCAAAGTTGGAAATTAGCCCCTGAGTGTTTGGAAGTCCTTTAAAAAGGGCTCCAGATTTATTCATCACAAAAACTTTACAATGGTCGAATAAAAGACAAAACAAAACCAGTAAACTTGAAAGGTTGTATATTCCAGGAATTCGTGGAAAAATTTAGAGTTGTTAAATCATTGCTTTAAATTATTCCATAGATATCGTGATAATAGATGGCACCAGCCTACTACAGGAACAGGTAAAGACATGGTCTTTCTGTCTGAGCACATTGTGCGGGCTGCATACAACCAAGTTGCAACAGAATAAGTAAAACTGATATCTTCAGAGAGAAATGCATCTCAGCATGTGCTCTCATGAACTGCAGTCCCCTTCATTGAATGCTGATTCTCAGAATGGGACGCTGCTCTTGATTAACAGTTTTAAAAGAGTACTTAAAACTGCTTAACTTACATGTAGACATTTTCAAAAACTTGTAAAATACCAAAAAAGCCAGTGAAGCATGGGCATTCTGCACAAAAGCCCAACCTCCAGGCATGTAGCTGCAGACAGACACACCCCAAACAGAAACAGCAGCCTGTAAAGAGGGTATTATCGTATTGGAATTAAGGAGTCACTGGCTAAACTAATGCACTCGTCAAAGAGGTCATTTGGCACCAGGGAAAAGCACTTTGGGGGGATGTACAGCGGATTTAGGGGTATGGGGTGGACTGAAATTGGAGGCGATCTCAAAATGTGATCGTTTAATACCAGCTGCTCCCAAGATATTCTGCTGAATGTACCAATTCTTTCTCTTTTTTTAAAGATGCCAAACCCTCATGCCAGTAGGCTGTAATCAATTGCAAACACACCCGAGGCCGCACAGAAGTATCAATAAATTTGTCACAGGTGATGGTCGGTTTAATTCATGCGTGCATTCAAATTTCCGCCATGGTACGCCTCCATTATCGTCACCACAAAACCAGTGGATAAAAACTCATTTGGAGAAATTAATACTGGCCACAGCACCAAAAAATGCTGGTGGAGCATCTCTTATCTATCTTCCTTTTTGTAAAAGGCAGAGGATGTGAACCAGTATGGCAAGCATTTCAGATAATCACTCAAGATGGAATTGGGGGTTGGAGTTGAACTTGGTGACACATTATAAGTCTAATGAAGCAAGCATTATTTCAAGGCCCAGGGAATCACTGGTACATATATAAATTTGCCTTGAATGAAGTTTACAGAATCCGACGGTAACTGTCTTATTGGAAGATCAGTGGTCCCTTTGACTGGTCCCTATAACTGGTCCTTTTTACCTGCCATCATCCCAATGCGGAACAATCTGCCTGGTGAAATAATCCGAAATTCTCACCATGAAATGGGAACAAGAACTTTTGTCAAAGAGTTCACCCCCCCCACCTGACCTGTCAGCCTTTGTAATTTACTTCATAATTGATCTACTTAAGTTTTGCTGTATGTGTACCTGAAACACTATTTTAAGTGCTAAGTATTATGCTAATTTTTGCATTCTCGTTTTCTCATTCATGTATTTTTTGTGTTGCGTTTTACCACCCCCATTCATATAAGATGTAGCTCCATGCATCTGAAGTGAACATGACTGATCTGTGATGTTTATCTGTAAAAAATTTCACAGTTTATTAAATTATTTTAACAAGAGCACAAATGGAACTTCATTAATATTCTGAAACTTTTACTTGATTAAATCTCTCATCACACATTGAATGGAAAAACCTGACTTTGAATGATCTTACATTTTACACCTATTTACCAAAACCTTGGGGGGGGGGATTTATACATATATCTTACAACTAGCATTTTTAATGTGTATGATAGCAGTGCCCTTATTCATCAAAATGCTTAAAATAACAGCACTGGCACTTGTTTACAATTTAATCACCAAAGTACGAGTGCCAGAAAAAAAGCAGTCCATCACTCACATACACTTGTGTTAGCTGTGAATTTTCTTGAAATCACCCATCACCAACGCTTAAAACCAAACAACCAATTTCATGCGTAGTGTACTCTTTGTTACCCTTTCACCTTTATCAGTTCTGCATGAAAATTTTAACGCCTTTTCTTTCCTCCAGCTAAGTGAGTGCAGTTTAATCCTCGGTTTCCTTGGCAACCCAGGCAAAGAGGAGTGTAAGTGTGATTAGCGCGTGTTCGATATCTTTCCATCTCTTCAAGGCAATTCCAAGTCACAGAGGTATTTAATGAGGAGTTCACAAAGATAAATCATGGACATGCAGAATACGTGTTTAAGGCGAAGCTGTGCGCACACCTCAAGGGTACGTGATGTTGAATGAGGCTTAGCGATCCAATTTTTATCAAAATCCAGTGGCTGCTAGCGTGTGGATTGTTGGACGAATTCAACAGGCGAAACAAGCACTGGGCCCAGAATTGCTACCAGCACCTCACTCCGCCAAGATTTGTCAATGTAATGAAGATTTGCCTATTTGACAAATAGACAGACACAAAAATTACAGACAGATTTGGGCAAAGCACAGGACATTTCAGTGATAGCTCAGTAAATCTGCCACAAGAAACTTGAATGAGCACTGCATACACTGACAGGACTATTCATGTAAAGCACAAAGAAGAAGCCACCAGTTATGATGTGCTTGAAAGATGAACTACCATTAAGATGGTGGATTGTTCAAGGTGCTGAAGGCAGTAGAACGGTGACACGAAAAACTCTCCTAACTTGAACTATTCCTTGAAAACAATACTGTATTGGGATTGGCAACACATACAAAGTAAAGCCAAGTGTTAGTGAATTGCAACAATACCTGTTTCAGTTCCTGTGTCAAACGTTGAGCGGTTCAGTCACTCACTGTTTTCGTGAGCAGCTATGGCCTTAACTCTGTTCGAGGTTATGATGTCAGAGACATTTGTTTTTTCACGGAATTGCAAAAATAAGCAAACAGATAGTCTACACAGGTAAAAAAAAAATGGAGTGCAATATTAAGGCATCATTCCACACTACTCGGTGACCTTTCCACGCTTTCAAGGAAAATGAAACAGCTATGGATTTCTCCCTACTTGTAAACATGATAGCTGTGTCTTCGAAAATTTATTTCACTTAAGATTGTTCCTTGTGTACCAAAGCCAAGGTTTAAAACATTTTGCGTCAGGCTAAGACATAATCTGTTGTCCCTGTATGGAGACGGAGCTCATGTAGTTCACACACACCCATTTCACATTTATTCCATACAATCAAGAAGATGGGACAACATGCAATTAATCTAAACAGGAGGAAAAACATAGTACGGAGGGGTCAGTCAAACACCAAGTTCTGTAAACATGATGCATGAAAATGTAACACACAGGCTATCTTGCACTTATTACGCATTCCAAACATACACACAAGCTCATCTCATGTAACATTCACTTCCTTCTAACGGAAAAGTGTCCCATTCCTTATTCAGAGTGCACCACTCTCATTTATGAGCACCATTTTTTCTCTGACTCTATGTCTCATTTGGCATCTAATTACTTTGACGAAACATGCAAAAAAGGTAATACAGTTTTTAAATTTATGTCCTGGATTTGAGCACTTGGAAGAACATGCAGAATATAATTTCAATGAGGGCCAAAAATCAGCCCTTCTTTTGTACATGTCATGATGAAAAATGCCACTCCCTATTTGAAAGTACCAATCGGTACCACACAAGAATAACACAAAATGGGCTTATCAGCCCCAAGAGTGTTTATTTGAATACAGCAGTGAGTGTGGGACCAGAAGAGACAACTTATGTGATATTTGATAAACAGACAGGGGTCGGACAGGGCCAAGGGTGGAATGTTAACAGGGTTTCATGTACCACCTCATCTTGCTGATGTTAAAGGCACAGTGGCAACTCACTGTTTCTAATTTTAAAAAAAAAACATGTGATGTTTATTTTCATTCCCTGAAATCAATTAATCACTGCAAACCTAATAATCTATTCATATATGTGTATGCTGAAAACCTATTAAAAAAACAAACTAAAACAAACAAAAACAATCCAAGGACAAAATCTATATATGTAAATCTATTTTCCCCACTCACACAAACAAATTTTCTAGGGACTTTCTAAATATTTCTGTATGGCTGCAGGGCACTTGGCATCACTATGAATAAAACTCATTTAGGAAAACATCACTGTGCCACAAATACATTCCCCATTGTTGGTGTTCTTTATTCTATTTACCAAGCTTTAAAATAAACACTCTACTGCTTTAATCTACTACAAGGAAGACAGAGGCCAGGCCTGTTCATAGATTATTTGGATTAGAGGATGTCATTTGTGCCAGGATCTATCATAAGTCATCAATGGTAATTACATTCAAAAACATAATCTTTTATGAGCCATATGCATAGGGTGTTTTTTTTTTTTTTTTAGTTCCTTTTGATTTGGCATCTGGCCACTCAATCAATTCCCGACTGTGGATGGTTTCAAAGTTTTGTTTTATGAGTAACGGAGCAAAAATGTTAAATGACAGTACTAGGGAGCTAAGTAACCAAACAGACTGGAAAAATAAATCAAGTCCCTTGGGCCAGCTGAGCACTGAAACAAGTTTATGCATACTGGACACATGCATGTGATATCCAGCTTTTGTTGTTTGAGAAATAAGAGATACAAATTCAGGTCAATTCAGTCCACTACCAACACACAAGTTTCTCTGTAGTTGTCTCTCTTGATTCAATCTACAAAGTACAAAGGATGGCGCCATTTCATAAAGTGTCAAGCATGGGAAATACATGATATAGCCTGCTGAAATGAGTTGCTAGCTACCAGAAGTGTTTAGAGAAACAAACACAATGGAAATCAATAAGGTCAAAAAATTTTTTCTCCATGGAATGTGTTTATTACAACAGCAAACTGAATTCTCAGTTATCCAACTCAAAACAGAAAACAAAATGTCGTCACTACTGAATTAAAAAAACAAATGATTGCAAAAATTCACTTGATACAAATATTCAAGCCAGATACAGTTGAATCCTGATAATCCACCAATACCATATTACAAATTCTGTAATGAAAATACCACCAAAAAGTGGCACTTAAATATGTTTGAAATTCTGCGTTCTTATCCCACTCCCTGTAATTTAAATTATTTCAATGTTTGTTGCATTAGAAAAACTGTTAGTTGCTGTGAAATCTTCAAATCACTGACACCTTAGCTGTTAAAAACATATTCTAGGTTTCTCTCCACTACAATGACATGGCTTTTATACCCCAGCTTTGAATAGTACACTGACAAAAAAAAGACAAAAAGTACATCTTTTCGGCAAAAGACAAAAAAAAAAAGGTGTAGAAGGTGTTATGTTTGTGATTCACTCTGATCGATCAAGGTAGGCTTCTAGCTTTGGTTGGTCACCTGGGCCATGACAGCATGGAATCCTTCCCTGAGCCCCGGAGCTAGTTCTGACTTTCCCTCCCATCATGCGCAAAATCACATTTGCTTGCCCCGCCCTTTCGTGGCCGGGAGCCTTATTTGATTAGCGTTGCCCGTGCACACATAGCTGGTTGCTCACATCATGTTGTACAATGTCGTGTGTCCTGCTCACTTATACGCTGACGAATGTGTACATTAGAAACTACACGGATGACCCCCTCCCCCCAAAACCCTTGTTTGGCTAAAAGAATAAAAAATCATTGATAAGGATGTGCTGATGACAGTTTCCTTGGCTGATAATCTCTGGCTCAATGCAACTCCATTTTTAGTTAGGCAATCATCAACCTGTTTAATGCAAGGCCAAAGTTTGGCGGTATTTTCACATATCCTAGAAGAACCAGAGAATCAAAGATGGCCACAGCACTTGTAAACAGTGGAATTGATAAAACACATGCATTGAAAGTTTTTCACGCCTGTACCTGTACCTTTTTCTTTCCTGTGAGATAAAAACAGAAGTCATCCATAAGTTCTGCATTTCAACAGACTTGTGATATAAAATTGAAATATTACGCCCTTTTTAGACTTTAACCGTTTCATCTCAGCTGTGACAATCAACTTCAAGGTAGCCTGTGCTGGTATTGCACTGGATTAGATTTGGTGTAAATGGTGACATAGATTTTGAATCAGGTCGGTCATGTTAGGATGGCTAACTAGTTGGTCAGTATGTGGAAACATTTTGAACAAATACAATTTTGATGGTTATCAAGGAAGCTTGTTCTTCATTAACAGCACAAAAATGGCCACCATGGCCAATTTTATTAGTTTATACATGTAGTTCAGGACATACCAGTTCAATACAGACAAATCTAGTGATCTAAACTGCATGTAAATGCCACAACTGCAGTGGCACTAGCCTGCGCAAGGGTTCAATTTGTTGAATGCATGAATTAACTTCCTCTTCAACCAATAGCCCTTAGGGTGTTGTAACTTGCCAACATGCGCGAGTCTCAAGTTGAAGAAGGTGTATACAAGTGTGGAGCCACAGCAATAATTATCAGGAATGGACAGCATCAGCGCTTCAGAAACAGAACTAGCACTCTTCTACGGATAGGGAGGATTCTTGTCTTAAATGGAAAAAACAATTTCAACTAAAAACAATAACAACTCAACTGGACAATTTACAGTATTTCAGAAAAACACAATATGCCATTTCCCCAACTCGCATACCACTGTATCTACTAGGGTTGGTCTAAAAGTGATATACAAGTATCTTGTTGACTTGCACCTGAAGAAACACACGAGTGGTAACTGCTGAAATTGCCCATATTGAAATACTCGTTGAGCTTCAACACAATTTTGACACGAGAGAAAACGGGGGAGAGGGCAACACTTGTTAACGCCATGCTACCTTTGCAATACTCCTGCTGCAAGGAGTGCCTGGTAGTGTGGCTCAGCAAACTTCTTCAGGAACATACTCATCTTTCCCGCTGCAACTGTCTGCGTCCCCAAACCTGCAGTCGGAATTTGGAGGGGAAAAAAAGGAGTTGAGAAAGGACAGAGCGACACTCATTTATTCATATCATCTCGTCTCCTTTTGAATTTATTTCATGTAATTATAATTATTCTTTTGGTCTGCATGTTGATTGTCCTGTTACATCCTCATTTTTCTTTTCTGTCCTTTTTTTTCTTTGCCTATGTTTTCAGTTTTATCCAAAGACATTGTGTTTGTCCAAATACGTCCTGTATTGTCCATGTGTCTGCACACCAGATGAAGTGCTCTGTAAGCCCTAGGCATGAGTCTCCACATACCCATCTTAACTCAAAGCGACAATTTCATAGCACAGATGAGTACTCGAACATTAAATATCATGTTGATGCTGATTTAAACAAAAACAATCTGAAGCTTTTCCAAAATTGAAAATTCAGAGAGAGCAGCGCATAGTAGTATCTTTGCAGGTTCTTGAAGTGCCTACTGTGCCCACTGGATAATCCAGCCCTACTATTAACGGCCTATTTTTACCCTTCTGCAGTATCTTCAGTTTGGTATGAATTCATTAGTGTACATGTATTATTATTGGGAAAGTAGGTAAATACATGCAGTAAATGTGTTTATTGGAACTGGAAAAATTTAGAACAGAGACCAGAAGGTTATTTGACGGAAATTGGGGGGAGTTGCCTGCAGAGAGATGGAAGAAGTGAGACAGAAACTAACAAGAGCATTTATGTGAGCAAATCATTCCCCTCCAAGGACACAACGGGGGAGGATGGAAGTAAACAAGCCAGCTGAAGCTAAAGAAATGACTACCACAGAATAATGGCATCACTAGTTATGCACAGGGTGAAAAACAAAAGAGAAAAAAATAGATACAAGGTAAGAGCAAGGAAATTTAGCAGATGCAGAGAAGACTTAAGATGACTGTATTTACTCAAAGAGGTACAAATGAGGAAAAAGAACCCAAAAATGCAAATACATAGATGATTGAAACAGACAAACAAGGTGACTGTTTTGCATGAAAAAGATGTTTAAAAACAAGATGGCTGAAATAACAGAAAAGATAGGGAATGGTATTCTTAATATTAAGACAGGATGAAGAAAAAATGCTTGAAATGGAAAGCTAAATGTACCATTCAAATACAAAAAAACCAACGAAAAACAGTACGAGCAAGAAACCTAAAAAGGATGAAAGAGATACAGAACTGCATTTAATACAGCCGTGGCCACCCCTACCAACAAATAAAAAAAACCAAAAAACAAAATCCCTGATTTTCAATGCAGGTGATGCAAAAAATATGTCGAGTCCTTCAGATGGCTACTCAACAAGGGACCTGTACGCAAAAACACTCGTCTCACCACCTCTCTTACAACCGCAACACGTTGAACTGAAACATTACTAAATTATGAGGCCTGTGCTAGGTGCAAATTGATCATGGCTGGTAAACAACCCAAAAAGACTTGCTTTTAATTCCTGGCAGCTGCAAATGCAAGTGAAAGGCGATAGACGGCAGAGTCAAATTTCATTTAATTTCAGGTGCTTTTTGCCAAGACCCGATTTGAATAATTTGAACACAATTACTTACTGGCCGGCAGAGCACATCTCTGTTACTCATCTAACAAAATGCCAAAACAGCCCAAAGGGTATAGCACTGTGTTTCTAATGCTGGTCATGCTGCATTTTTAATAATTCTTCAAACCGCAATTGATTAAAACCATATGTTTGCAATTTGAAAAAAAGGAGAAGCTCGGTGATATTTCTAATTGTTGGTTTGCAAACACTGGGCCAGGCATGGCAGATACAAAAATCAATGTCACTGTTAAACAACAGTGCAAAACTCTAATTGGGAAAAATTAATTATTAGCTGTGTGCTCGCAGTCTAATGAAACATAAATGCCTTGCACAAGCTCGGGAAGAATAGCGCTTTCACCGGCCTGGGTTTATGTGTAAACAAGGCTTCAAAAAATTATCATAGCATTGAAAAATTTAGATGTCAAACACGCATGTAGCTGTGTGAAATCAGAACATTGGACAATAATACAAAGGCATTTCCTGGATAAGGAAATCAGCACTGATAATAGTAGAATGAAAAACTCATGCTTAAAAGGGCTGGGGAGGTGCGTTAAGATAGCCCAATGATAGGATAAATCCCTCTACATAATGATATTGATGACGGCATAATGACAAAAAGCTCAATCTTACAGGGGGTGTCTTGCAAAATATAAATGGTTAATAACTCTACATTTGTACATAAGCAAAATGACAACATTTCAAGTCCAGCAATGACATTTCTACAGCCAGACAAACTATCAAACAGGAACTGACACCTTAAACCCCCTCCTGTTCTCTTCTCTGTGGACTGATGCCAAGATTATCAGATGAAAAGAGTTTGAAGAGGGTGAGAGAACTGTTGGTTACATTCTTAAAAACAAAAACCTCCACACCCCTCACAAGGAGCCAGATCCGACAAGAAAAGAGTCAAATTTGACTGCAGGGAGTTAGCACAAGCTGGGTGCAACTAAGAATCATTTTATAAGGAAGCATTCCAAATGAGGATGATTTAAAAGAAGTAGCTAAGAATGCAGTAGAACCTTTGAACTGGCCTGCTGTTCCAAATAAGCTCAACATCCAGTCAGTTTTCAGTCAGAAATAGAGAAAGTTTTTTAACTGCATCATTCTAAGAGGGTAAAGATAATGACAAGACAATATGCATAGGTAATGGGGAAAGAAATGTTTCCTTGAATGTGGATAGTACCAGTCTAATACTAATAATCATTAAAGCTTGGTGACGTCTTTTTTACAGAAAGCGAGTGAACAATGCAGCACAATATAGAAGTACATTATGGGATTACATATATGTCTGCTTTGGGATTTTATCTCTGAAATCTGAAGGTACATGTAATTGAGTACTACACAGCCAAGCTGGCCAAAAGAAGTGGAAAAATATCCCAGTGTTTCCTGGCAGAAAAAAAAGATCCCCTAAGTTATGTGTCTGTATGCATGTCCATATAACATGTACCAAAGTTCATAACTCATGTTTGTTGTTCAAAACAAAACCCCATCTAATCAATGTCCCTCGTAGAGAACCTTATATTAAGATCCCCGCTCTCTGTCACTGTGGCTGAAAAAAGGAGAAAAATCAAATTAAACCCTAATTTGATTAGGATAACAATAGTTTCTATTTTCTTTGTTCACTTTTCTTAATGACACAGACCCCGTATGTATTTCCAATCCTTTCATTCACATGCAGCCTGCACCTTAATTATGGCATATTTTTAATCAAGAAATGGACAGAAAGGATGTGCGCTTCCTTCTAATTATAGGAACGAATTTAATTCTGGTGATGAATTAATGGAAGTGATGTCTGTCGTTAGGGGAACCGAAGCCTTGTAAATAATTTCTTTCTATAGTCCTTTCTTTTTTCCTTATTCTCAAGGCATAGCATAATTAGAAATGACATTCGGGGCTCCGTAGAAATAACAAAAGTTAATCAAGGCGGATACTTCGAGGTCTACGAATAAATAAAACCTTTTTGGGGTTCTTGTTCTCTATAAAACTGTGATGCACTCAAAACGGCACCACAACTACCATAGTAAAAATCAACAAGACTACCCTACCTAAAGTTTAAGTATGCAACTTACTGCAACAAAATCAACCAGCAGATGAAGTGAAGTGATTATTGGGGGTGAGTATTTTTCTTTCATGAACCTTACATAGGAAATAAAGAATACATCATGTTAAAACAATGTTAAGTTGATTGGTCCATCAAATTGATTATCATGCATGCAACCAAGCAAGCCAGTGAAAAACATGTACATAAATGTATGTATTTCAAATGCCAACCTACATGCGCACATGGTCATACATTGTCCGATTTTTTTCTATTTTTGGGGGGCGGGAGGGGCAGCTTAGAAGTGTGCATTATACTTTTAGAGCACAGAACATTGCATTTCTTTCAAATGATACTGATTTGGCTTTACCAAGAAATTCCATACCACTGTGGGAGTAATTTTGCATTTTGCAAGTACATCAGAGATGACATCAAGGAGATTTAGCCTGCGGGTGACATTTTATAATTTTTTTTTTTTTAAACACCACATCTTGCCAGGAAACACAGACACACGGCCTCCGGCTCCAGATTTTCAACCATTCTTTTGGGCACACACACATTACATTTCTGAATAACTGACATGAAATGGATAGGCATTCAGTTTACCCAAATCTGTCTCTCATGTATGTTACAGCAAGACTGTAAACCTTGCAATATTCTCTTTTCTTTCTTCAACATGTCTCCTTAGGGAAGTGGTTTTCCAGGTGGTTCACATGGGAATAAAATCGATTCATGAAAAATGTCTCATTTGCTTAAAGGGGCCAATATAAAATAACAATCACATTCACAACCAGCGCCATTTCCTCAGCTGCTAATAGTACAACACCAAAAAATAAGTGACAGGACCGATATTAAAAAGCAAAATTTTTTTCCTGTAAAAAAGTGTTTTTAAATAATTATTCACAGCAGCGCGACTCCAAGGCGTAAGGTTATTGCAGGCACCTTCCCCTAACCAATGTCTTTTTCACCGTAACTGTCATATTAACTTCCCATTTGTCACACTGCTGATATGATTTGCTTTGGCATCATAATTGTCAGGGGTTCAATGATCTCAGCTATCACTCGTTGTGGGCGATGACTTCTTATAACTGGACAACACTACATAAGGGCCATCATTTACGTCATGTTTTGTCCTTAAACAATATCTCGAACAAATCTTCCCCTACAACACAATAAGGAACACGCACAAAATTTTTTTACAGGTACACAGATGTACTAAAAATACACAAGAGTAAACACACACACACATATCTAGTGTTAAAATACTCATATATTCTCAAACTGTGAACAAATTTTTAAGCTGTTGTTTTGTTGTCAATGATTTCCTTGACTCTTCCTATTGCTGCAGATAACTCTAATCCTAATAGACTCTAAAGCTGTGTCCAGAAAGGGGATAACTTTGTATGGA